TTTTTTTTTTTTTTTTTTTTTTTTTTTTTTTTAGTATCTTCCACACTTTCTAATGAACATGTGTTAATTTTATAACTTGGCAAAGATTTTTCATACTAAAAAGGGGAATTGAGGCTATTTTTCTTATTAATTTATGTATAAAAGTTACTTCTTGGCAATTTCATGACACAAATAAATAGTAAGTTAAATGTGTGAAGTTTTTTACTTAATAATTCCAAGAGGAACTCTTAGCATATATGAGTCATGAAGCAAAAGAAACTCCGGAAGTAATTACAAAGCAGTTACTGAGACAGGTTGCCAGCTAGTTGTTTAAAATCCAGCTCTGCCCCTATCTAGCTACTTGCTCTTTTTAAAGAGACCTAATGTTATACTGACCGTGTCATTAATGGTATCCTGAGCAATTGCTAATGAAGAAAATTTCTTCCTGACAAGACTTTTGGGCTTTACTTAAAAAACAGTTTTGTCCTCTGATTTCGGCATTGCCAGAATTTTACAAAGGTACATTTGGCTCTGAAGGTTTTTGTTACATGATTCTGGTAATATTTCATTTTTGAACCTGATAGAAAACTAGTGAGGTTTAATGAATGTGGTATATCCAAAGACTTAAGGTACATAGAAACTACATTTATTAGCCGGGCTTGGTGGTGCACGCCTGTAATCCCAGCACTCTGGGAGGCTGAGGCAGGAGAATCGCTGTGAATTCGAGACCAGCCTGGGCTACATAGTGAATTCTAGGTCAGTCTCAACTACATAGTGAGACCCTGACTCAAAAAACCAAAAAAAAGAAAGAAAGAAATTGCATTTATTGAATATTTTATTCATCTTAATATTCCCATTAGTTTTGTGTGATTATACTCCTGTATGAATTTTTTACAACTAGAAATTTTCTGGGTTCATAGATGCTTTAATAAAATTAAGTATTCACAATGGTGTATTTGTATGCAGAACATCTGTCCTTATCACAAGTGAAGAAATACAAGAATTTGTGCAGTTAGAATTATTATTATTAAGAGTTGGGGATTTAGCTCAGTGGTTCTGCTACCTGCCTCGCAAGCACAAGAACCCAAGTTGATCCCCAGTACCAAAAAAGAATTATTATTATTATTATTATTATTAAAAAGAAGAAGCAAGATAGTATCATATACAGGTGCAAATTCCTTGTGATGAATGTTTATATATATATCTAAAATATACCAATAAATGTTTTGCTTTAAAAAAAACAAAGACAAAAATAAAACATATAATAGAAATATTAAAAGAAAAAGAATTATTAGAAATATTATTATTATTATTATTATTATTATTATTATTATTATTTGCAGCTGGGGATTGAAGCCAGGGCCTTGGACACTCTAGGCTACTGACACCCTCAGCCCCAACTTATATTAATTATGTTTTTATAGTGTTTGGTAGTCAGTAGGTAAAGTGAAATAAAACTACAAATGCTTTTCTTTTTTTCTTGATGCAGAATTCTCCAAAACACCAGTGGGGAGAAGAGGAACCAAATTCTCAGATGGTAATAAAGACTCACCATGTCCAAATATTCATTAACTTTTTCAGTTTTCAGGGCTAATAATAATTTAATAACTAATAGTAGCTTTTAAGTAACACAAAAGAATAAGGTTTTGGTTATAAGGAAAGAAAAGCAGGCACTAAATGCTGCTCTTTTCTGCACTTGGATTTTTGTTTCCTCTCTCAGGAAAAAGATCATAACAGTGAAGATGAGGATGAAGATAAATACGCAGATGACATTGACATGCCTGGACAGAATTTTGACTCTAAGAGACGGATTACTGTCCGGAATCTCAGGATTCGAGAAGATATTGCAAAAGTAAGTCTTGCCATCCTGACATACACATTTGAGAAATACTTATCTTCCAGCCTAAATTTTATCTTCCTATTGTATGTGAGTGGTATTTGAGTAATACAAGCAGTCTTTTCAAGACAAGGTGTTGTTCTCTCTTCACCTGTACCCTGGAAATGCGCACACACACACACACACACACACACACACACACACTTAATTGGTCAGGTTAAACAACTCCTACCTGCTGAAATACTTTTTTCTGTTAAGTAAATATTTAGCCTTTTAACATTTTTTCTTCTAGTATTTGAGAAATTTGGATCCAAATTCCGCCTATTATGATCCAAAAACTAGAGCAATGCGAGAGAATCCATACGCCAATGCAGGAAAGAATCCAGATGAGTAAGTACCATATTTTTAATTCAACTTTTATCCAACCATAGATTATATTCATTGTAATCCTGATTAAATTTTATGAATTTTCTTTCCTTTTAAAAATCTCTAACAGTTTTTAAAATTTGTACTTACAGAGTGAGTTACGCTGGGGACAATTTCGTTAGATACACAGGAGATACTATTTCAATGGCTCAGACACAGTGTAAGTGTTGGCTGTATGGCAGGGCATTTCTATCACTGCAGCCATTGGTGGCACAGGCCTGTAGTCCTGGCTTTGCAATAGCCTGAGGCAGAAGGGTCATAAATGCAAGGCCAATCTGGGTGACATAGTAAGACCCTGTCCAAAATAAAAAGGGCTGGGGATGCACAAGCCCCTGGGTTCCATCTCCAGTACCTCCCAAGGAAGGACAGGGGGTTGGGGATAATTTTTTAAAAGTTTAATTTAGATAAACATACAATAAATGTAACTGGCAGCTCATTAAAATGTTTTTTAATTATTCTAGTGTTTGCTTGGGAAGCCTATGACAGAGGATCCGAAGTTCATCTACAAGCAGATCCTACAAAACTAGAGCTGTTGTATAAGTCCTTCAAAGTCAAAAAAGAAGATTTCAAAGAACAGCAGAAAGAAAGCATCCTGGAAAAGGTAATTTTCATCAAATGGCGAAGAATTTTAAGAGAAGCTGCAACTCAATAAGTATGCATTTTACATTTGGAATAATGTGCAAGGAATAATGTACAATTAACCTTTTCTTCTCATGGTCTTTAACGGTACATTTTAGGTATACAGTACAGTTACATTCATTATTGGGATCTTGTACCTTTATATGACAGGTCTTGGTTCTCATTTTTTACAGTTAACCCTTTTAATCCACAAAGAATTGTTCTCTCTGTCCAGTGATGTAAGTTACTTAGCATAGACTTTGTCGTTGCTGTTGTTGTTTTGGTTTTTTGAGACAGGGTCTCCCCCCATAAGTCAGGCTGGCCTTGAACTCACTATGTAGCCCAGGCTGGCCTCAAACTCACAGTGATCCTCTGCCTCAGCCTTTCGAGTGCTGGGATTACAGGCGTGCACCCCCGTGCCCAGCTTGGTATAGACTTTGTCAGTGAGCCTTTGCAGCCAAACATGCCACCCTGAAACTAGTAGCTTAGAACAAATACTAATTATTTCTCACAAGTTCGTATGCCTGCTGAGTTTCTGGGCCTGCTCAGCTGAGGACAGGTGTCCTTTGACACCATGGTGGGTGGTAGACAGGTTAATTGTCCTGGGGAGCTCCTCATGTAGGATCTCTGCCTCCCGTGGTCTCTTCTCTAGTGTCCAGCCCAGGTGTTTAAAAAGTACGTGACAGGGCTGGAGATTTAGCTGAGTGGTTCTGCCGCCTGCCTTGCAAGCGCAAGGACCCAAGTTCAATCCCCATTACCAAAAAAAAGGTACGTGAGGGTTCCAGAGAAGAGCTGCAAATGGGTGGCCCAAGGTCACTGTGCCCAGGCGCCTCTGTGTACCTCACATTTCCTAGCTTGCCATGCACCCGTGAGCCATCACAGGTATCGTGGCCAAGCTCAGATGAAGGGGCAGTGAAAGACTCCACCTCGGGGTTGGACAGCCAGCAAACAGGAGGCAAAGGGCAGGCATGAAAGAGTAAGAAGAGTTTCTGGCTGTCTTGGAAGCTGCCATACTTAACAGATGAATCACAACTGACACATCTTTTATTTGTCTGTGGAAACTCGATGGCATTGTTTTCGTTGTATCGTCTGTAACAAAGCCTAGTAAGGAATGTTCCTTTAATATTTCTAACTGAAAGTAAATCCTTCCATAGAAATTTGAATGCGAATCTTTATTGTAAAGTATATTTAACAGTGTCCAATGTCCTTTTAGTATGGTGGCCAAGAGCACCTGGATGCACCTCCGGTTGAATTGCTGTTAGCCCAGACTGAAGACTACGTGGAGTACTCCAGGCATGGCACGGTCATTAAAGGACAGGAGCGGGCCGTTGCCTGCTCCAAGTACGAGGAAGATGTGAAGATCAACAATCACACAGTATGTGCTGCACTGGAAGCATTTCTCCATGTTACATGGGCTCTGGGTTGCATTTTTTTTTTCTATTATAACTTAATTATCCATTTCTATTGGGTTTTTTCTTTAACATTTTAAAATGTTTATGACTATACCTCCATAGGTTCAAAACTTTTTAACATGTTGCTGTATGTGCTCCATCTAGGTCTGTGTGTACATTTTACACGTGTATACATGAGTATCTATGCATTTTTTGACTCTGGAAATTGCAGATATGACATTGCACCCATAATCATGTCATCTGTCTTCCAAGAATATATATATTCTCCTCCATACCCATGTGAGCACTGTACTTCAGAAACTTGACTTTAATTCTTTAATAGTGTCTAATATTACTCCTTAACCACTTTTTTAAAAATACACACAAAAATACTTTTAATAGCTTTTTCATAGCATGAATCAAGTTGAAGTTTAGGTTGAGCATTATGTGGTTGTTATGTTTTTCTAGAGTCTGTCTTCCCTGTTTTCACGAAAGCAGCCACCTGTCGGACCCAGCCAGTTGTCTTGCACACTGTGTCATATGCTTCATTTGACCAGTCTCCTAGTATCATGTAACTTACTCGTCTAGCCCTTGTACATCCTAGAAATAAGAATTGGGGTCCAAAAGCTTGGTTAGGTATAGGTTATTTCAACAGAGATGAATAATAGTGACGCAGAATATTTTGTGTTGCATCACATTAAAAAACATGTACTTTTGGGTCAGGGATTTAGCTCAGTGGCATTGTGCCTGCCTCACAGTCACAAAGTCCTGAGTTCGATCCCCAGTACCAAAAAAAAAAAAAAAACCATGTACTGTCACTTGCTGTGCTCTTCTGTGTGTATGAAGATTAAATCCAGGTCCTTGTCCATGCCAAGCACATGCTCCACGTCCGAGCAGGATCCCTAGCCCCTTTTCGTTTGTTTGATTTTTTAATAGAATCAAGTCAAATTTTGTGTTTTGTTTTATTTGTTGCAGTACTGGGAATTTTGCAGCACTTTGCCCTCCTACATCCCCAGCTATTTTTATTTTGTATTTTGAGGCAGGATCTTGCTAAGTTGCCCAGGCTGGCCTCAAACACGTGGTCCTCCTGACTCAGCCTCCCAAGAAGCTAGGACTACAGGTATTCACTGCCACACCTTAGACTTAGTATATTCTTGAGGTACTCAAAATACAACTGTCTGTCTAAGTCAGGGATCAAAAACCTGACCACCTAGAGTAGCCCAGGCCACTGATTGTCTAGAGTGCAGTGAGCCCGGCAAAGTGTACAAACTGGACAGCACAAACCCCATCTCGTAGGACGCACGCCATTCAGCAACAGCCACTTAATGCCAGGTGGGAATGTGGGCCAGACTTCCCGTGTATTAACTTTTAAAGGAAAACCAGCGGTGCTCAGGTTTTACTTAGGCTTTTGAGAATAGCATTGAAGACCATGGTGACTGCAATGCCAGCTTCTCAACCCTTGAGTTTGGCCCACCCTCTCCCTTTACTTGGGAAGTCGTATAATTTTTCTTCCAGATTACCTTAACAGCATGTTAAAGTTTTCATATTCCTTTTAAAATAACCTCTCGCTCTCTCTCTGTCTCTCTCTGTGCAGCATATCTGGGGATCTTACTGGAAAGAAGGCAAATGGGGATACAAATGCTGCCACTCGTTTTTCAAGTATTCGTATTGTACCGGGGAAGCTGGGAAGGAGGTCATTGTGAGTAATTATCTTATGGTTCTTCAAGGTGTAAGACAAAGCTCTTTAATTAAACTGCATGAGATACTATCTTACACTTCAAATTTTATTTTTTTCTGAAATCATTGGTCAGTGTAACATTCAACTCAAATTATGTATCTGTTTTTTCCACAGAATTCAGAGGAATGTATTACAGATGATATAAGTGGAGAAGAATCTATGAAAAAACCTCAGACCCTCATGGAGGTAAGTCTATAATTAGTCCTAAATTTTAAAACCCAGAAGGAAGGACTTTAAAACACGCACTTGAAGCTGGGCGTGGTGGCGCACACCTGTAATCCCAGCACTTGAGAGGCTGAGGCAGGAGGATCACCTTGAGTGTAAGCCTGAACTACATAATGAGACCCTGCTGCAAAAGAACAACAACAAAAAACACACACTAGAGCTTTGCGTTCACACTAATAACAGTGTTTTAATCATCCCACTCAGATGCATCAGGAAAAAATAAAAGAGGAGAAAAAGAAGAAGAAAAAGAAAAAGAAGCACCGAAAGAGCAGCTCAGAGAGTGATGATGAGGAAAAGAAACAAGAAAAATTGAAAAAGGTACTTTGTGAACTCTAAATAGCAAAAGTAACAAATAACAGTATTCTTTATTTTCTGGACCTTAGGAAATGACCTAGTCTTGTCTGCAGGTTCATTTTAAGAAATGTAATGATGATCCAGAGGCTGGGTTATTGCCCAGGTCACCTTAATAGAGATTTTATGGGTTTACATACTGCTGCCTTGGAATATTTGATAAATACCACTGACACAACAAAGAATTGTGCTCTGGCTGTGATACTAATTTTTTTCCCCTTTCACTATAGGCATTGAATGCAGAGGAAGCCCGCCTCCTTCAAGTCAAGGAGATCCTGCAGATCGATGAGAGGAAGCGGCCTTATAATAGTGTCTATGAAACTCGGGAGCCCACTGAAGAGGAGATGGAGGCCTACAGGATGAAACGTCAGAGGCCAGATGACCCCATGGCCTCTTTCCTTGGACAGTAGTACCTAGTCATGAACGGTCATCCCGGACAGACAACTGACATACTGTCTTCAGCGTCTTGATAATTGTAGGTAGAAGAGTCCTTGCCTACCCTTCCAGCTGCCTAATTGTAATAAAGCTTCAAGAGTCTCAGTGTATTCTTTTCCACACTGAAGAAACAAAGTAGAACAAAAACAAAGAGGAAATACATTAAATATAGATTAAGATAGGAAATAATCTAATTTTACATTAGTGATGGGGAAAGGTCTTCGTTGTCTCTCTATCAAAATGTCTTCTACTCGGCAATTAAGTCTATTTCCTCAGTTTTTCTAGCCTTTTATCTAATAGTATTGCACACTTTTAAGGTAGATTTATTACTTTATCAGAATTAGAACTTTTTTAAACTGCTAGTGATTGCAGGAGTAATGTAACTTTATAATTGTTTTGTTTATAATTAATTTGTTTTAAATGGCCTGAAACAAAAATTTATTCTAACTTGGTCTTTGGTTAACTGAAAGGCTATTTGTAGAACATGTAAATGACTTTATTCTCCCATGTAAATCTGTGAAGTAACTAATATGTTTTTATTTGATTATTAAATTTAATTTTAATACATTTCCTTGAAGCTTATGTACAGAACCAAATTTGTTAGCCTATGAAAGGAAGAAGAAAAAACTTACTTTCTCATCCTTGGGTCAGCATTGACTAATCAGTACTTCTACCATGCTACACATGATTTAGCCATAAAAATCTGTTCCTTTGCTTGTGATACTACCATGTTTGTGGTTACCTTGAGGTAACAATCAGGATATTAAATTTTAAAAGATTCTAGAACATCCAAAGTACCTAATCTTCATTGCCAGCAAGTGTCACTATAGAACTTAGCAGACCAAAACCTGAAGTTAAAGTTTCCTTCGGACCTGAAAGGATGGCTTATGGGAATCCGAGTAACTGAGACTGCTGTGACCCTCAAGCCACTTCTGCGGACATTGTGAAGATAACACGGACAGCATGAGACAGCCTGTTTCTTAAGAGCCCCTGACATGAGTGCCTTCGCGTACCAGTTTTCTAGTCTCTCAGAAAGCACTTGCAGAATATGGTGTTAAGTCAGCATCAGGAATGACAGGAAGGAGAAATGCTGTTATGGATACAGAAGGTGCACCGGTTCACACTGGGATGAAACTGAAACAGCAGTGCAATAGGTCTGATTGCTTTCTTTAAAGAAAATTTTGTTTTCATATTCCTTAACAGGATGGCTCAACATAAAACTCTTAACACTGGTGTCCATTTCATACTTTCTTTTGTTAATAAAGGTAGGTAATTGAAAATACTGAAGTGTAAGTGGCTTGTAGTGTCATTTCGAATATTTAGCAGAGAAATAGGTCATAATGGTGGTGAACCTATGGCACATGTGCCACGGTGGGCTGTTTGTGTCATTGAGCACTCTAAGGAGGTTCGCCATCTCTGGATTATAAGATTGGCAGAAAGCCCATGTTAGCTTCTGTGAGGTTGGAATTGGAAATCATGTCCTTTTTCTGTTTCATTTTGGGAAAAAGCTAACACCTAGAGCAGTACTCGGGTATGAGCCTTGACTCTGTCTCAGCATCTGCCTTTTGCATATTGGAACCACGTGCTATCATCTTGACATCTCAAGTGATAACAGGAGACTGTCCCTATTTTACAATTAGCATGTTGGCTTAACAGCTGCAAATGGTCTGCCTGATTCCTCACAGTTAAAGGTACTGTGACCAGGACGCAAGCCAAGTGCTTCTGATTGTAAAATCCACCCTTTAGTATTTAAGGCCCTGGTTTCTGGCCCCTGAGGGTGGTCTTTTGCAATGTCCTATTGACAGAAGCCTTAAGCCAGCCCTAAGTATTTTCCAGGTTGGCCCTCACCACATGAACGTGACACATCTGTTCCATCCTTGACACCCTAACCCTAAACTCTCCTCCTTTCAGGAAACAGCCTTGTGCAACGCTTCAAAGACTAACAAATGAACAAAAAATTTAAAAACTCAAAACACGGAGCGAGGAGGAGAGGAAGGGGGTGTGAAAAGAATAAAGATGTGTCATATACATGTACCAGCTTCCTACAATGAATGTATTCATCATGTACCGCAGTCATGTACTAATTTAAAAACAAAACCTCTGGAAGAGACGGACGCACGGCCAGCGGGGGCCGCTCAGGGCCCCTCTGCTGCCATGGCCCTTGGGCTCTGCGCCACCCCGCACACACACACCCTGCATGCGGGATGCCCAGGCCACTGTGAGGGTCAAGGAATAGTCAGGGTTGAATGCACCAGGGCCGCTGTCCCTGAAGAAATGAGTGGTGGCTTGGCTCCAAGTACGAGCGTAGTGTATGTGTGCAACTCGCCCTTCTCCCTGACAGCGACGTTTCTGGATATTTTCCAAACATGGCAAACTTGTGAATTGTTTGATAGAGTGATAAAGGCAAGCGTTGCTACTGACAATGGGAAAGCAGCTGAATTCATCCGAAGGCAAAACTACTTTGATAAATCGAAGCCTTAAGAATGTGGGGGAAGTGGACACTTAAGTTATGCCTGTCCGAAAAATATGCTTGGAGATCATGAGCTTCCAAAGAAGAAAAAATTGCCAAACCAGAAGAAATCGAGGATGTAGCAGAAAGCGAAGATGAAGGGGAAGACCCTGCTCTGCACAGTCCCAGCCAACCCATCGTGGCCCTTCAAGCCAAGACTGAAGAACAGAACAAATGGAAACCCAGTGCAGGGGGCCCTCAGTGTTAAGAGGATTCACAGCACCTGAGGATGAAGAGCACATACTTCAGTGATGAAGAATTTAGTGATTAGAGTTGTATAATATAATTTCAGGAAAATAAAAACCTTCTGCAGTACAAATTACTTGCATATAAGAGCACTTAGGACCAGATACTATTTTGGAACCATAAAACAGTGCTTAGAAGATGAGAAATAATTTCTTAAATTATCATGTTTCAGGCTGGGTATGGTAGCGTATTCCTGTAATCCCAGCACTCTGGGAGGCTGAGGCAGGAGGACTGAAAGTTCAAGCCCAGCTTGGGCAACTTAGCCAGATCCTGTCTCAAAATAAAAGATAATTTTAAAAGTTACACAGAATGTAGCTCAGTGTGAAGGCCTTCGGTTCAATTCCCCATACAGAAAAAAAGATCATCTTTCTACCTTGCCTTGGCATACTGTAGACTTAACATCTCTAATCCAAAACTCCAGAATACTCCAGTGGAAAATTCCACACCATGCAACTGTGATTCACGGGCAACATTATGAAAACTACTGTACCCAACTGTCTTATGGTTATGTACAGAAGGCATTTATGAAGTACAAGTGAAACTCATGCTTAGTCTGAGGTTCCATCCAGAAAATACCACCTTCTAGATATGTACATATTCCAAAATACTTCTGGTCCCCATTTTGTTGTTTGGTTTGGTTATGAGACCGGGAAGCTCTGCAGTTCAGGCTGCCCTTGAACTCACTACACGGTAACCCAGGTTGGCCTCAAACTTAAAGCAATCCTGCTGCTTCAGCCTCCAAAGTGCTGGGATTAGAAAGCACCACTGCGCTTGGCTGGTCCCAAGTATTTGGGATAAGGGGTAGTCTGTCTGTACTAACACTCGGGATTTGTTAGTAATAATCGAACTAATTTTAGCAAAAACTAAACAAATACTATGATGGTAATGCTATTTTTATCCCATAAAAAGGTAGGTATTAAACTGATTTGAAAACTGTAAATGCTTTAGTCATATCTCACTGGTTCATAAGTACTTCTGAAATAAATTCAATCTTTAAAACAAAAACCATATGAACTGAAAAAATAATGGGTTTAAACGTACTGTTAATAAATTTTAAAAAGATGTCTTTAAATATGGAAGCTTCATCATCATCTTTTAGCTTTATCCAAGTCTACATGTATATAAGTTTAAAATATCCATAAAATAGCTAGCATGGGAGTGCACACCTATAATCCCAGCACTGGGTGGCTGAGACGAGAGGGTGCCATAAATTCCAGACCAGCTTGGCCTACATGTAGAGAGTTCAAGGTCTAGCCTGAATTATAAAGCAAAACCCTGCTTCAAGAAAAGAAAAAAAAAAAAAAACATAAAGTATAAAGTAGCTCTAAAAGGCAAAGCCAAATGGGGCATACCTATCTACTTTGCCTGTAATACCAAATTATGTTCCCAGAATCAACTACTTTCCATTGCTGTTTTATTTTGTTTTGTTTTTTGGTACCACGATCAAAATCAGGACCTTGCACTTGCGAGGCAGGCGGCAGAACCAGTGAGCTAAATCCCCAGCCCTCCATTCCTGTTTAATATATATGCACTGTAATAAAATGCCTAAATTTCTGTAAAGAAAAAACAATTCTTTTTTTTTTTTTTGAGACAAGGTCTCACTATGTAGTTGAGACTGACCTGGAAGTCACTTATGTAGCTCAGGCTGGTCTCGAATTCACAGTGATCTTCCTTTCTCAGCCTCCCAAGTGCTGCACCACCATGCCCGGCTCTGTCAATTGATAAAAGGATAAAGGAGGATTTTTGAACCCACCATACTGCTGCAGTTGCTTTCCTCCACCTCCCAAATGTGGCTGTCAAAATTTCAATTAAATACATATTTACTATTTGTTTGTTGTCAACGATCTTTTAACTTTTTAATGTATTTATTACGTTTCTTTGTATTTATGAGTAAATCTTCCTGTATTTCTGTGGGAGAATGGAGTCTTTAATTTTCTACTTTGTATATTCTGTACAGTTTAAAGCTTTGTAAGAACACCTACATTTACCTTTCTAATTACTAAAGCAATAAAACATTTCCACTTTAAAAAACATCTAGAAGAAAATAGCCTAAAAATAAAGAGGGCTATGTATGGGCATCATACTTTTGCATTTGGGGTTGGGGGTGGGATGTTAGTCTTGGTTTGGGGGACAGGGTCTCACTATGTAATTCAAGCTGGCTTTGAACTCACTCTGCAGCCACTCTTCACGGTGATGTTTCTGCCTGCCTCCTGAGTGTCGGGATTGAAGGCTTGAAGGCGTGCACCACCATGTCCGGTTTTGGGTTTACTACTTTTAAATCGTGTTACTAAAAAGAATTATAACTGGTGCAGGGGATTTAGCTCCGTGGTTCCGCCTCCTGCCTCACAAGCACAAGGTCCCGAGTTCGATCTCCGTTACCAAAAAAGAAAGAAAAATTGTAGCTGGGTACACTGTGGTGTGTCCTGTGCCAGTACTTTGGAAGACTAAGGCACGGGGATTCCAGTATCAAGGCCAGCTGGGCACATGGTGACTGTCAGGATGGATTCTTGGGATACTCATGTGCATGCTCAAACTCAGGAATCCTGAGGGGTGTATGGGCAATAGTCACAAACTGTGGAAATTCATTCTCCACTGTATCCTAATGCCGTTTAATCTCTGCCCCACTGGCCTAAATCCTTGGAAATACAACGAGCTTCCTTCTCTTTTTCCTTCTGGCTTCCATACATAATGTGGTAATTACTGCAGCTATATCACCTCCAAGCTCAATGCCTGTCACAGTATAAATTTTATTCACAGTCTGATTCTAAAAATCTATGTGGACTATCTAGCACCTTCCATTCCTGAGATTCATCCTGTGGCCAATACAACAAAAACTTTGCACCATGAACCCAATCTAAACAAAAATCAGGGAAGACCAGCGCGCATGCACCCTGCGCAGGCCCTCCAAGCCCAAACCCACCGCTGATTGCTACTGCGCCTGCGTACGGCAGCCATCGCCTCGCCCCCTCTGCGGGGCGGGAAGCAGGACGGGACCCGGATGGAACCTGGCCGGGCG